GTGCGATTTGAACATTTTGGAGGGAAATCATATTAATATTTAGTACCTTACCCTTGCCTCTAGTACAGGGGCATTCTTAACATCGGGAGCCATAAATCCCCCAACACACCTGGGTCTCATCATTGTTTCCGTGTAACATGTCAAGGCGAGGTTGTTTTTGATTTGTTGTTTGCCCACTCCTCACTGCAGGGATGCGTCCTTCTAAAGATGTTTAGGATGACGGCGAGCCAGCCCTTCCACGTGGGGGTCAAAGGCACTGGCCCTGGGGACAGAGGGCAGGCTGGGAGTTCTGGCCCTGTCTCTGCAAGCCACTGAGCTTCACTCTCCCTTAGTTTTCTCTCCCGTGAGTCAGGGGTGTTGTTTGTGAGCATTCAGAGTCCACACCAGCCACAGTTTGTAACGACGTACGTGCTAGGCATTAACTAGACTGACGGTGGTGATCATGTTGCCATATATACAAATAATGAATCCTTATGTTGTACACCTGAAACTAATGTAATGTTGTGGTTAACTATACCTCTGATTTACAAAAACCAGGAAAGATTGCTTGAGCCCCACCTCCTTCACTTCATGAGACCCCAAAGACTATCTGCCAGAGGTTTCTTTCCTCCCTTATCTCCTAGACTTGTTAAAGTCTGTAAGAAGCTGTAAAGTGTGCTGACAAGGGTGATAAAAATAACACCTAACAGCCACTGTTTATCAGGCCTATACTGTGTCTAAGCACCTCACCACACCTTTTATGTACGTAATCTAATTTGATGCTTGTGCAAACCTTATATCAGGGGTGTTTGTCAAACTCATGATCCCCGGGGACCACATCAGCCTCACCGTTGCCTTCCAAGGGCCAAATGTAACTTCAGCTCCTTAACAGCTAAGGAGTAGTTACATTTATACAGCCCTAAAATTATTTCGGCCCTTTGAAGGCAACGGCAAAGCTGATGTGGCCCCCGGTGAAAATGAGTTTGACGCCCCTGCCTGATATGGTCCTATATTTTACAGATGAGGAAACAGACTCAGGAAGTTTAACTGTCTAACGTTACAAAGCATGCTAGGACTCACCAAATTTGGTCTTTGAATGCAGGTCTAGCTGACTACAACCATTATATTATCCTACCTCCTCATTCCTATTCTAGGGCATCCGATAATCTCGGACACGTGTTCTCTTATACTAAATGTCTGTGAGCTTCCGTGAGATTGTGTTCATGTCAGTAATTTCATATGTATAAGAGTGAGAGAAAGTTTGAAAACAGTAACTTAAACAAATTGTTCCCAATGAATTCTTTAGGAGAGCAATTCAAGGTTGGCATGGTGACTCAATAGTGTCCTCAGGAGCTGATGTAACTCTCTAAGCTGTAGTCCTCATTTTCATTCTGACAAAATAGCTGCAGGCGCTCCAGTCATCACTCCCGTGTTTCAACCATGAAAATGTTGATGTGTGAAGGCAGAGGCAAAAGTGACAAGCCAATGAAGTCTTCGCCCCTGTTAAAGGTCATTCCTGGAAACTCTGCCCAGCAATTTCCATTTATCTGTTGCTGGTGGAGATTGTCAGAATGACCACTCTTAGTTACAAGAGGCTGGGAAATGTAGTTTTTGGGTGGGCACATTGTTACACTGAACAAAATCAGAGTTCTAGGAACAAGAAGACCAATCTGCTGGTTTCTTGAAATAAGTCAAATAAATGCATCCAGTGATATTCTTCCCCAATGACTGACCAGCTGGGGGAAAGTTGGGGTGTCGAGAAGCTGAGAATATCTTGAGGAGGTAAAAGAGTTGGTTCAGCAGATGGTAGAGCCAGGGAGACTATGTCTTGGATACTCAGGAGAGCCGTCAGGGGAGCAGCTTGAGCCGAGCCAGGGAAGGTGAGGAAGGATCCAGAAGAGGGGTGTGGCCCTGGCGACCCGACTCTGACTTCACTCGGGTCACAACCAGGGGGGAGGAAACAGAGGAATCCCAGCCTCTGAATATGCCCTAAGTGTGAACCGTTGAAGCTGCACGGTTGGTAAGATTTCATTTCGTAAACGTCATCTGTGGATGGAAAAGCGGTTCTTCCCGATGGGTGCGGGGAGCGGGGGTGCAGAGGAGGCAGGCTTGGGCGGGGAGCAGGGTGAAGGAATGAATGCACCAGGGCGGCAGCGGGCCTTGGGGCCAAGCTGACCGAGTCCGTACTCCGGCTCTGCCACTTGGCGGCCACAGGACCTGGCACAGGTCGCCTGATCTTTCTGACTCTTCTAGTTCTTGTTTTTTAAAAAGAGAAATGGGTGAGGCAGGGCATGATGTGTGGCTGGTGGCAGTGGCGTGGCCATCGGAGTCCCCGTCACATGGCCAGGTGTCGCCCGTCGCCATGTACCGCCTGTGCACTTGCTGTGAGCCCCGCTGGGATGCAGGTCAGGAGCCTGGTTGCGGGGGGAGGCGTGCGAGGAGCTCACGGAGCCTGGGGGAAGACACTAGTTTTTGAAGCGGCCGTCACCAGGAAATGCGCTGAACTCTTCACGTCAACGAGGCAGGACGCCTTCCGCCGGGTTGACCAAACGGTGGGTCTCAAATGCTCATTTGGGGCCCCCTGAAAAACACCCCTCACCATAGAAGGGTTAACTCCTCCCTGACTCACCTTCTTCCTATGGAAAGTGAAGACACGCATGATGCCTGCCCCCAGGGTTGTCGGGAGAATGGCGCCGGTAGAGCCCCTGGTGCATCGTAACGCCCAACACATCGCCCCCGTTGTCAGAGGTGCTGCCTCCCCCATCACCCAGGCACGAGCGGGGCTCGGAGGTTTCCATCTGCCCGGCTGCCTCGGCTCCAGGACCCCACAGAAACTTGAACGAGGGCACGAAGTGCACACACCCTCACACTGGGCCGGGAGAGAGGGTGTGATGATGTGATTACTGAGGGGTTCTTGGATGGCGACAGTGCTTTCAAGTGCTTCTGTAGACTCGGAAATGGCCTTGGCTTCGGTGTTTAGGAAGGGGGGACCTCCCGGGGCAGCAAACACGCTGTTCACCTGTGTGTGTGTGCACTCCCTGTTCCTGGAACAGCTTCACGCCTCCGGTCAGGCCTTTTCTGCTCCTGCCGTCTCTTTGCTGGTCACGCAGGCTGGGTGTCGGGTGACTTATGTGTTCTTGCCTCTGGTTTCTGAGACGTGAACGGGCTGGACTAGGAATTGGGGGGACATCAAAGAACACCCGGTGTTCCTGGAAACTATGCGCAGGCACAAGATGCCGCATCAGCCGCCGCCTACCTTTCTCCGTATCTGCATCAGCTTTTGTGCACTCAAGGCACTTTTCCAAGAATCATGCCATCTGATCCTCTCCGAGGCCTTTGGAGAAGGCAGGGGAGATTCATTTCTAGATTTTTGGTTGTTTGTTTTTTTACTTAAGAAAATCCAGGCTCAGAAAGGGGAAATGACTTGCTTCTGCTTGCCGTGGTCCGGACCTGAACCCAGGTCTTGGGACCCCAGGCCCTGACCCTTTGTCCACGACTCACTCCGGTGGCTGCTAGCCTGCGTCCTTCCCTTGTCTGGAAGATGGCGCCTGTTTTCCTCTGGGGTTCCACCCTTGCGAGGGGGTGATCCGTCCAAGCACAGAGCGTTCTGTGGTCGTTGTAATCCGTGTCAGAGGTCAGGCGATCACCGTGTTCCTAGAGCACGGAGACAGAAGAGGTCGGCGTGTAGCCGCTGTGGTCCTGCCAGGGCGGAGCGCGTCCCGTTAGGTTTGGTCCAGGCTCCTCCGCCTGCACAAGAGGCTTCTGGGTGGACTTGAGGTTCCACCACACGGCCACAGCAGAGCTCCCCCCAGTACAGAGGTCTCTGCTGCAACCCCTCCCACCCTCCGCCTCTCCTGGGTTTCTAGGGCTTGAAATTCCTCCATTTGGAGCCTTGAAGACTAAGACTAATTGGTCTTTTGGGAATTCTTTTACTGTACTTAAGAGTTTATATTAAAAAAAACACACTCAGGGCCCTGGCCTGTGTGGCTCAGTTGGTTGGAGTGTCGTCAAGTAAACCAAAAGGTCGCAGGTTCCATTCCCAGTCAGAGCACATACCCAGGTTGCAGGTTTGATGCCCAGTGGAGGCGTGTACAAGAAGGCAACCAAAAGGCAACCAGTTGATGTTTCTCTCTCCCTCTCTCTCTTTCTCTCCCTCTAAAAGGAAAAAATTGTCCTCAGGTGAGGATAAAAAATTAGAAAAAAGCCACCTAGGGTCCTGTGTAGGGGAGTCACAAAGCCTCATTCCTCTGGCCCCAGGGTCCTCATCCATTAGACATGAGCAGTAAGAGGCACAGTAAGATCAAACATGCTTCACGTAAAAGGGCTCTGAGAATGTAACCTTGACCGAGAGCTGAGGAGAAGGCTGGGGTGCTGGTCAGGGAGGGGAGGACAGTGGCAGCAGCCGGAACTCAGAGCACGAAGTCTGACCCAGGAAGCTCTGCTGTATGGGGCTCGCCAGCGGGCTGGCTGACCTCCCGGTGCGGCCCGGGATCGGACCAGTGGCGGCCTTGCGAGCCATTTGGATGGCTTTAGCCTCCAGCCGCCGGTGTCTGGGAATACAAAGCAATGGTTCATGGCACCAGACGGTTAACGGTCTCAAATGTCCCCTGCTCACTGCCTAAGAGGAAAAAGAGCCCCCTGGGGAAATAATCAAGGATACTATTTTCAAAGTTGCAATTAATTGCGTATTCAGGAGAGCTCATCCCCTGCCGGCTGTCCCGCTGGGAAAGGGGGAATTCATGGCGACGGAGGAGCTGTGCCCGAGAGGGGTGGTTGGCGTGTCTTTATATGGTGAGGAAGGTGGATACAGGCACGTACTCAACTCCAGGGAGCCTGGAACAGCCGGCCATCAGCAGCTGACTTCCTTCCGTTAGAATGTGTGCCGCAGGGTAGGTCTGGCCACCTGACCTTAAACTCTGAAGCCGCACAGTCCCGTCGTCTCTCCTTGGAGCGCCCCCCGCCGCTGCTCTTCTGGTCTCACGTCTCAGACACCCCCCGTGTTTCCCTTCTCTCCCCTCCAGCCAGTGAGACCTGCAACGACTTCCACCCGATGTTCTTCACGCACGACAGGTCCTTCGAGGAGTTCTTCTGCATCTGCATCCAGCTCCTGAACAAGACGTGGAAAGAGATGAGGGCGACCTCTGAAGACTTCAACAAGGTGAGCTGACCGTGGGGCAGAGGCAGCGTCGTGCCGCCCAGGGTGCCGCCCAGGGTGCCTCCTGTCCACACGGCCCCTCAGCGGCGCGGGGAAGGCAGGCGGCGAGCTGGGAGAATGGGGAGGGCTGTGGTTTTAGTCTGCCTTGAGAGGGGAGAAAGACAGACAGACCTGCGTCTGGGTTGGTGGTGCTCTGCTGTCTCTGGGAATAAGCTTGGAGCAATGTCGTTCTGTTTGCGAAGAACAATGCCCAGGTGAGCTTTTCCTTGAACAGCACGGCTCTGGGAGGCCCCGCCATTGCAAGATCGACTTGGGTGTGGGGGGATAACGCCACCCTCCCACCTGTGCGGGGGCTGCCGCGGGGAGAGAGATCAGGGCGCCTGTTCGGTCTCGGTCGCTGGGTGTCTTCGTGGACTGTGGGTGTGTTGAGACAGTTCGCCCTCGGCCGTGTCAAACAGGCTTGTTGTTAAACCACAAGATCTCTTTTGGAGAGCTGAGTAAGTGTATGAGGAACATTTTTTGGTTTAGAGAAAGCGTTTGGTTCTTTGAATGGAGGTGTCCTTGGGTTTTCTACAAAAGTGTGAACTTCTTATTCCTTTCTGTGAGCACATGCTGGGTGGAGGGAAGGCTGTTAACCACCTTGGAGGAAGCAGAAGCACCGTGCACACTTGTCAAGATAAGCAAAACCTCCGTCCTGAGATAAAGGCCCTGTTAATAATAGTGATGGTCCAGGTGTATGTCAGCCTTTAATTCTTCTACTTTGTCACTGTGTGGTTGGCCTCATGACCCATGTCTGCTGACCTGGTCCTAGGGACATGGCTGTTCCTAAAAGTCCAAGGGTCGGATCTCACAGCTAACCCAGGGGACCTCCGGGGCTTGTGCCTGCGACATGATATAATACATGGATTCCAGCTCGGCTTAATGTTCTCATCGCTCTCTGCCTCTGTGCCACCTTTTCTCAGAATGTACCTTTCCTTCCTTCCCACGTCGTGTCTCATCACGCTGATGATCCCTCTTCTGCCTTGAGTGTTCACTTTGAAGGACACGAGGGATGACACTGGACCCCCTGGGTAATCCGGGCTCACCTTCCCTGCTTTAAGGTGAGCTGATGAGCAACCTCAGTTCTATCTGCAACCGAAACTCCCCTTCGCCATAGAAGGTGACACGTTCACGGAATCTGGGCATTAGCCCCTGGCCTCAGGAGAAAGGCCAGCATTCCCCCTGGCGTGATGTGTGTTTAATTTGTAGGCGGATTGATTTGTAGGTGCATGTATCAGATAAAATTAATGAAACATGGGCAGATGAGCTTTTTTTGGTGTTGTCCCTTTTGCTGGTAGACCAGAATAATACCATTATTACTAATGGTAATAATACCATTAGTTGGAGTCGCAACTAATGGTTGCTCAGGCACAGCTATAATTATATCCCTTTTCTTTTATGTCCCTGTGTGAAAGCCACTAATCCGGCGTGGAAGATAACTTTCTGATTTTTTTCCCCTGCTGTCAGTCTATTAACCACTGCTCTGTTTTAGCAGATAATAAATTGGAAAAGAGAGATGTTAATCAGTTCACTTTTCTCCTTGTCATTAACTCGGAAGCAGAAGTGATTGAATTTAGGAACGAATGTGGGTTTGGTGTTACTGGCCTGAGTTCATATTTTTCTTGTCTCCCAAGATTGTCCGAATTTGAATTCGGAAATGTTGTCAAGAAGCTCAACGTCAGACTTGATTTCTCTTGACCTTTCCTTGGCATCGTCTCAGGCTCTGGCCACTGTGAAGGGACGCGTGGGTGGCGGATTGGAACGTCAACCGGAAACGTGAGGTCTGCCTTCCTCAGCTCATTACCGGAGAAGCGGGAGCCCTCCACCCAAAATTTAACTTTCCCAGCAAACAAGGCTAGATTCCGGCAGACGTGGGGATCTCTTGGACAGCCCACCTTGGGTGGGACGTGGTCTGGAGGTGTCAGGTGCGCTGGGTAGTCGATGCTGCTGCGTGAGCCGAGGTGTGAAGAGCGGCTGTCTTTCTCCGCCTCTGGAGAAAGCGGCAGATGGTTGTGTTTTTTTTTTTTTTTCATTTATATAAGAGAAGTAGGATTAGAGAGTGATTAAAATATTTATACTTTGAAAGTAATTTCTTTCGATTTCTCAGTAGAGCAGTCTCTGCAGAGTAATCCATCGATTCGGGCCATTGGGTTTGTATTCTGCGTTTGCACCTTTTATTACTAATACTCGAGAGCATGCATTATTCATGGTTATGGGCACTCGAGAGGAGACGGACGACCGCTGGGCACCTTGGCGCACGTGGGGGCCTGTCATCATGTCACCGACGCCCTCGTTTTGGAGCGGGGCAGGAGAGGGGACGCAGTGATGTGGATATTTCTGGTACAGGTGTCTCGCTGGCAGATTTTGTCGCTGGTGGCTCCCCCTTAAAACGTCTAACAAGGGTCTACACGTCAGAATCTATACCTGTGCGTGCATGGCAGTGTTTCGCAGGCTTGCGTTAGAATCAGCGAGGGGGAGGGATTTGGAGCCCTGTTAGCCCAGGGCCCCTGCACTGCACACACCGGTTAAGTCTGAGGGTGGGGTCAAAGCTACCAGTGAAGGTTTTTGTTAAGGTGGACTTGACCAGTGAAGGTGAGTCGTGTCAGTGGGATCGCCGTCAGGTGACACACGGAACATGTGTCACCAGCTGGTACACATGGTGTGCATTGGTGAGACAGTCTGTCCATGGGTCTGAAAGGCCCAGGTTCTAATCCTGGTTCTGCTACTCGGGAGCAGTACGCCTGAAAATAAAAATTGTTTTAAAAAGTGGATGCCGGTATCCCATCGCTCTCTTTTATGGTGGTGTGATATTAAGTTGAAGTCATAACGTGAGAATGCTTTGAAGTAGTAAAATGTCACGTGCAGTGGTAAAGCATTCTTTTTGTATGTAACAAGATAAATTCTGTCTATTAAAAAATGAGTAAATTGCACTTTTTTTTTTACTTTTTATTGAATTTGTTGAAGTAGCATTGCCTAGTACAATTACATAGGTTTCAGGTGTATGATTCTACAACACATCATCTGTACACGGTGCTGTGTGTTCGCCGCCCCAAGTCAGGTCTCCTCCCATCCCCATTTATCCCCCTTCCCCCCTCTTCCCTCTCCCCCCTTTTACCCCGGTAATCACCATACTGTTGTCTGTAGCGCTGAGTTGTTGTTGTTTTTTCATTGCACTTCTTTTTTTAAACTTTTAAAAGATTTTATTTATTCACTCCCAGAGAGGGAAGGGAGGGAGAAAGAGAGAGAGAGAGAGAGAAACATCAATGTGCGGTTGCTGGGGGTCATGGCCTGCAACCCAGGCATGTGCCCTGACTGGGAATCGAACCTGCGACACTTTGGTTCCCAGCCCCCGCTCAATCCACTGAGCTACGCCAGCCAGGGCTCATCGCACTTTTTAAAAGAAGACATTTTTTGGCTGCTATGTTAAAAAAAAGGGGGGGAGTGTAAAGGAAAGCTGCCTGTGTCCCGCAAATACAGTTCTTAACTGAATTAAATAACTCACTTAATGGCAGAGATCGTGTTGAAGCTGAAAATGCCGTGGAGTTTGGTGGTGTCCTCCCCTAAACAACTTTATGAGACACCTTAGTTGTCGCGATGTGACAAGCCGTGGGAATGAGCCCGGAAGTCAGCTGGTCACACGCCTCTCGTGTCCCTGCCGGCTGGTGGGTAGTGGCTCTGCAGCGGGCACCGGGTTGCCCAGGCCTCTCTGCCAAGGGGCGGCTGAGCCTTCTAGGGACCACCCAGATATCTGTTCGTAGCACCGGTGTTACTTTAGATACTCTCACATCTGCGTTAAAGATCAAGGTCCAGTGGCGTTGCTGTGCTTTCAAATGACCCAAGTGGAAGAAACTCCCGACTGGGAAACATAGCCACTCAGGAACAAAAGCCCTATTTTAAAACGTCACTTAGCAGCGCATTAAGCAAAGTGCAACATGATAGAGGTTACGATCTCAGGCTTGCAGATAAGAATCCACCCCTTCAGCTAGGAGAGCCCGGGCCCGGGGGAGAACCGGGCCCCACCCCGGACAAAGCCGCGGCTGCCCCGGCGTGGCCACAGGCTCCCAGGAGTCAGCGGGAGAGACTCTCTGGGTCAGGAAGACTGAGAGGGCGGGGCAGAGCGAGCCAGCGTCCCAGGAAACCCCCCTGGGAAGATGATCCGTGGAAAACACCCGCTAACTAGTCGCATCGAGCAGGTTAGGGTTTAGCATAAAAAAGGGATTGTTTGAAACCTAAAGGCAGCGGCTGCATAAATAGAAAAAAGAAATAGAGTTGCTCCCGAACGGCTCCCAGCTGACTGACCTTCTGTGCATGTATTTCAGGGGGCGATTGCGCATTCAGGAGCCCCCCTCTCTAGGCTAGGCCAGCTCAACGTGATGGTGAGGCAGATGCTGTTGGTTAGCTGAGCTGGCTCAGGGAATGAAAGGTGGTCTGTAACCCTCCGCATGAATAAACATGAGTGCCATTTGCATGAGGCAGGTGACTGTAAAATATCTCGGAGCGAGTTGTGAAAGGGGGCTTTGTGCCTCTGCACGCGGGGGGAGCTGGGGGGGATGCGATGCTGTTCCTCTTCATTAGAATTCCGTCGAGCGCTGCTGGTGTTGATCGGAACCGAGGCTGGTGTGGCTAATAAAGTAGGTGTGCGTTGTAATTGGAACATTAATATTTAAGGAGAGGAGAAGTCTGTTAAAGGGCCCTAATGTCAGACGCTGGGGTTATCCATTTTCCAGCTGTCTGGGCTGTTTATGAGAATTTATTCAAAAGGCCTGTCGTGTTGCACAAAGGCCTGTAGGTTTGGCACGAAGAAAATCGAACCTGCTCCAGAAGCAAATGCATCATATGAATAGGTTTATTTTTCCCTCCCATGTTTCTGTGAGAGAGGTAGCGAATGGTTTCGTGCATGCATGTGTTTGAGTGAGTGCTTTTAAACTATTCATCAGACGGGCTGCCACCGTTTTTCCTGGGGT